TAGAGTATGCCAGGATGTCTATGTGGCGCTGGGGGGGGGGGGGGGGGCTTGAAGGGATGGGCGACTAAGAAGCATCATGCAGGTTTGTGTTGATAAAGCGACTAAAGGTTGCTGTGGTTTAAGGCCAGATGAGAACAGACGGATGCTGAGATCACGTCTGATGCACCTCGTGAAACATCAGCTCTCGCGGGATCCGAGTCTCTGGGCCGTAGAGCTTACCGGCGCGCCGCTCGAATGCAGCAACATTCTGCTTTACGACCTCATCGAAGAACATGGTGGCTAACTGGGAGTGCAGCAAAGAGCGGAACTCAAAAGATATCTGTCAAAGATACAAAAAAAAAAAAATCTCTTTAGGATATGACAGGGAGTAGACAAGTCATAAAATATGGCAAGTATACAGTAGTTTGAATAGGAATAGTTCAACAATATGGAAAATGTGTTTATTTGCTTTCTTGTTCAGCGATATCACTCGTATGAAGCTTCGACTAGCAGACTTCCTGGTGTCTCGCCACAGAGAGGAGACTCCAGAAAAGCCACAGCTCACGAAAAATAAAATAGTCCCACACATAACCACCCGAAAAACTAGAAGGAGCCGTTTGGACGTGTCTCGGCAGGCTAGCCTTTTCCCTCCGCTTACAGTCTTTATGCAAAGCTAAGCTAATTATCTGCTGGCTAAGGCTTCATATTCACCGTACGGACTTGAGAACCGTAGTGAGCTCCTCATCTAACTTTTGGCAATAGAGTGTTTTCACCACAGGAAGCAAGCTGCAGGCTACTTACAGAAAAGTCTACGGTGCAGGTGCGAGGGTAACCAGGAATACCAGGACTAAAGCGCCATATCGTCTCCAGGTGATTGAATAGCTTTCCATCCGTACACACTGCCTAAAAATCAACCCAGAGGAGACATTCTGTGATTAGAAATGAGAGATTTGGCATCACAAACATTACTCAAGACAGCTTTGCTTTCAGCCAGGTGCTGACATTTAAACTTACTCACATTGCAGCAATATCAAACACAACCATGCCATCCACAGATATCACGTTAAACATCAGATATAAAATCCTTCACAGGATTGACGAGACTCCGTGAAGGTACTGGCACTTACTTTGACTAGATGAGGCCGGACACAAGTGATCATAGACGTGTATCTCTCCACCATGGGAGGGAACCCGACTTCAAGCTGGGCTTTGGAGTGGCCCGCTCTTTTCATGATGGTCTGGGACTTCTTACACCACGGCACAAAGTTCTTGTAGTCGTCAACATTGGCTACCACATCATGCATTTCCTGCATAGAAAAGCTGTGACCAAAATAAAAAAAGCATTGCAAGGTTGAGGAATAAAAAAAACAAAAAACACATGGTTATTATGTGTTGTTATTAGTAGCACATAGTGGATAATTACCCAAGTATCCTACGCTCGGAGTACTCCTTCCTTTTGTTGGTGAAACTGATGAAGTTTCTGTTTTGAGGAACAGCTGTCATGGTGTCCCAGTCTTGAAGGCAAAGCACTTTGGGAGTTCTTGTCATCAAAATGCCGCATGACGACAAGTGCCTAAAAGGTAAGAGAAATATTTTTCTGTGAGCCACATTCTGGAAAGAATGCAACAGGTACAGTCCACAACATAAAAGGCCCACTACGTTCCCCTTTTTCTAGATACCAAAGTCAATGAGAACACATAATATGCTGAACCAGGAGGCAGTGGAAGGTCCCTGTGCTGCGACTGTGCTGGTGTTTTCTGAGGCCTTTTATGTGAATAGCAGAAAGCTCTGTAATCTGACACCCACTCAGGCTACCGCTTAGCAATGTGTTTTCCAGCAGGTAACCTGTTTATTCTATATATTCAAATAAGTTGTTGCGCTCTCTTCACGTGACTTACGGCTCTCATTCAACTTGGTCAAATGCGGATAAAGTATGTTGTACCCGAACTATTTTGTTTGTTTTTAGTATGAAACAAGTACGTATTACATTACATAATACTTACATAAACTACAATAACATTGTAATAGTCTATTTATTTAGGAAACACAATAAACCATCTTGTAATAGACATTTTCAAACTCGACAACATCAACAGTGTAGGTGTCTTTCTTTATAAACGGTGACATTAGCTACCAGGATATCAAAGTCCTTGCCTTAATGGAAAATAGTCACACTTCAATGATAACAGAAATACGTCAACCGTGGTAAAGTTAGCTTGTAACCTTCCCTCTCTTACACCCTTCGGTCCTAAAACAGACGGTGTCATTGACTCTGTTTTGTAGGACTCGCTGTGTCTCGCTTACCTAATGCTCTGTCGCAGGCATCCTCTTTGCACCCCCGTGAGACACGAGCGAGGGGAGCCCACGGAGACGATCTGGAGAAAGTCACTGAACGTCCGCACACCCATGGGCAACCTCCGGGCACTGGCCGTGGCAGCCATCAAATCAGCGAAGATAGATCCTGGGATTCAAAGATCGATTCCAAACACCCTGCTTCCGTGCGGGTAGTTGTAGCTAATTCTGACTGTCCCGAATAACTAGCTAGATCTACTGGCTAGTTGATTATAGTCACTTCAACAACGCTATCCTCCCGCTTTTAGAGCTGCCGGCGTAACTTATGTTAGTTTCGGTAACGTCAGTTAGCTGCCAACGTTAGCCACCGTTCGCTAACACTGTTTCATAACGAGCCCGGACGAGCTAAACGCGACCTAAAGCCGCGTTCCTCTTTTTTCCCCCCGGCAATACTCGCATTACTCCACGTTACGATCCACACGCTCGCAATACAATTAAATTATTTGGGCTTTAAATATCGTTTAAATACCGCCCAAACGCCAACGACCTTCTTGTGGCTAAAAACGCCGGTGGAACAAGCTGTTCCTTTCTTCTTCTCTAATTTGATTGGCGGATCGAAACCAACTTGAATAGGTGCATACCGCCACCTACTGTACCGGAGTGTGCAGTTTCAGAGTAAAAGTTCCATCACTGTTCTAAAAGATAATAACATTAATATGAATAATGGGCTGGTCTTCTGTTTAGCCAAACGACTTTAAACATATAAGCTCAAAACAATAATTTGATTTATTTAGTGACAGGTCTATTTTATAACAATAACAATGTAAAGGCTAAATCTTTGGTTAAATCTTTGCACTACTGTTTAGTTAGTTAATTTAATATTGTTATATTTCATTGTATGTATTGTGCATTTTTATACTCAATATATTTTATATTTTATATTTTTTACTCTGTTACTTTGATTGCTTACCTGTATCGTAATGCTGCTGTGGCGAACAAATTTGCCCTTGCAGGATTAATAAAGTATCTATCTATCTATCTATCTATCTAAATAATATTATTAATACAATTATTATAACAATATTGTTATAATAATAATAACAATATTGGTATAATAATATTAATTATCAAAATATTATAAAATGTATTTAAATTATCAAAATAATATACAATTAAATTATTTGTAATAATCAAAAATAATTGTCTCAATCTACAACATATGTTCAATAACAACTAGGTTAAATAACTTTGACGAAAACTTCTTCAGTCTTTGTCGTGGTGCCCCTCCGACCCCTAAACGTTTCACTTGACCTCGCAGAAGTTAACTTAGAGCCCTCCATGTTGTCACCTCCAGTGAACGGATTTTACCGTTTTCTCTCACACGATGGCACCATTTCACCCGAGCAGGCCGAACACGGACCGCCACGCCTGTAGGCGGACCCAGCACTGTCGTAGCCTGTATCGTCAAACCAGACATCGGGATACAGACAACAACAGTGACAGATCGAGACCGCATTTCTGTTTGCAAACCAGCTATGGGTGTAGTCTGAAACAAGTGGATACAGTAGCGCACCGCAATATACCTCGAAGTTTTAGCCTCATGAAGGAGCTCCGTCCTGGCTGAGTTTGGGAGATGGGAGTACATAACATTGCAGACCAGGTACGACGAAAAGAAAGCGCTCCGTGTTTGTGCTGTGGCGCAGTCTATTTGCTGGGAAAAGCCCTGTTCTTGTGCGCAAAGTACTGCGTCTTATCCGCGGAGCAAGTAGTTTCGTTTTCAGCTTATCGGCGGTGCATCTTTATTTGAGTGCATGTCGGAAACATAATCATATAATCACCTGTGATTTGCAATGATGTTCGGCATTACGTACGTTTCTGCTGCTCATGTCTCGGCCCTGCTCTGGGTCGGGGCCAGCTATGTAGCATAATTAGCTACAGAGGCTAGCTGACGTCACTAAGTACTTGGACAAGGGCCTGCAGGCCTCAGCCAGGGCTCCGTCTATTTCCTGGAAGCAAACAAGAATCTCATTCGGTGCCCAACCAATGCACCAAATACAACATGTAACATCACGATAGCACATTTTACCCATTACACTGAATAGTGCGCAGAGAAAATCGCAGCGAGATGGGACATTACATGTTAGCTAACGAATCGTCGTTAACGTTGTGATGTGCAACGGTAACTTAGCAGGTATTTCTGTGTTGCAGCCTCCTCTGGTCCAGGCCATCTTCAACCGTAATGCTGAAGAAGTTCAACTATTATTGCACAAAAAGGAGGATGTCAATGCACTGGTATGTATGACGTGCTTTCAGTTTCAATGCAAACGCGCTGTTATCATGAAGCACTTGGGTCCTGACGTCACATTCCCCTTAATTGATTTATTTTACCCATAGGACCAAGAGCGCCGCACTCCACTTCATGCTGCTGCCTGTGTGGGTGACGTCCATATATTGGACCTCCTCATTGAATCAGGTGAGTGTGTGTGCACCACTGCTACATGGCTATGTGTTAATTTTGAGTCTTCTGCGTTAATGAAAAGTGGTGCATTCTCAAATCTTTGTCACCACTCTAATAAACATTGCCCTCATTGTCAGTTTTTTGCTCTTTCTACTTCTTCTTAAAATGTGTTACTTTTTTTTGTCTGCCAGGTGCCACTGTAAATGCTAAAGACCATGTATGGTTGACCCCGTTGCACAGGGCGGCTGCTTCCAGGAATGAGGTAAGCAATAAACTCATATCCAGGAGTCCAGTTATCTCTGTCACGATGACTTCATCCTCTAATTCCGTTATGTATTCACCCGCCGTGATTGTAGAACTCTTTTAGATTTATGCACCAAATATATTGTGCTGACGGAAGGAAATGCAGCAAACTGCAGATATAATATATGCTTTAAGCTCTTGTGATGGTTTTCCTTTCTCCCCAGAGGGCAGTGGGTCTGCTGCTGAGGCGCGGAGCGGAGGCAAATGCACGAGACAAGTTCTGGCAGACACCGCTGCATGTGGCTACTGCCAACCGGGCCACTCGCTGCGCAGAGGCCCTGCTGACCCAGCTGAGCAACCTGAACATGGCAGATCGCACTGGCAGAACTGCCCTGCACCATGCAGCTCAGAGTGGGTTCCAGGAGGTGAGTCTCGAGTCATTGGCTTCCTATTTTGAGAACCTGTGAGTTGTTTTTTTTTTTTCCTTCAATTTTATTTTATTCGTCTCACAGATGGTGAAGCTGCTGCTGAACAAAGGGGCCAACCTGAGTGCCATCGATAAGAAGGAAAGACAGCCTATCCATTGTGCTGCTTACTTGGGTAAGCAAGTTTCGATCGCTTGCCAATTCTGCACACAGCACACATTTTCAATGTCACACAGCAGTAAAAAGCTCCTATTGTTCATGACAAGTTTCACTCAAATGATGAGCAATAACATTGCCAAGTCCTTACGTCATTATCTATCTACAATTGCTGATTGTTGTCTCATACTTGGACCTCTCTGTTTGTGGCCATTATTGCTATGAATCCTTCAAAGATTTGTGTTTTTTGTGTTTCCCGTAGGGCATTCAGAGATTGTGAAGTTGCTGGTGTCCCGCAGTGCAGACAAGAACTGCAAGGATAAGCAGGGCTACACACCTCTCCATGCTGCAGCTGCAAGTGGTCACCTCGAAATTGTAAAGTACCTACTGAGGATGGGGACAGAGGTGAGCGATTTTCACATCATATAATATAGATATAAATACATTAATTTAGCTGCCATGTTGTCTGATCATTAAAAGTCACAACGTTTAACCAATAATCTCTCATTATCTGCGGAAATGTGTCACTTATGTTAAGATTTCTCGGACTCCTGCCTTTCAGGCTCTTGGCTCAGTCTGATCCGGTGTTTGTGTTTTGCTGTCAGATTGATGAGCCCAATAGCTTTGGAAACACTGCGCTCCACGTGGCTTGCTACACGGGACAGGAGGCTGTGGCTACCGAGCTGGTGAACAACGGAGCTAATGTTAACCAGCCCAACAAGTGCGGCTACACCCCTCTGCACCTGGCCGCTGTCTCCACCAACGGTGCCCTCTGTCTGGAGTTGCTGGTCAACAATGGGGCAGATGTCAACCAGCAGGTGTGAAATGGGTTCAATTTACTTTACCTACTGTTCCCTATATGTTGTGGTGATAATGCTGTGTCAAGATGTGGCAGTGCACTACATTTTGTTTGGTTTTGGCCATTGTCAAAGATTTTTACACTCCTTTTCAAATTGGAGATGTAAAGAAAAGCGTGTTTGGTTTGATGCTGTGGTCCAAATTCATTATGTGAACATAAAGGAATGGATATGGAGATAATACACAGTTTATTCCTACCCATATAAACTCTTTTTCTGTAAATGTGCAGGGGTGGAACATTTATCACACACATGTATTAAGCCGCTAGAAACGAGAACATTTCCATAGTATGTGTGAAAAAGGACTGCATGAGAAAGAAAATGTCCTGATATAAATCATGTTATTCATCTTTTCATAGCTTACAAGACTGTATATATTACACCGTGTGAAAGTGAGACCTGTCACGTTATAATTTATTATATTTATATGAATTTATGGCAGACGGTGTGGAAACTCCTCGTTAGCTACTGCTCCCTGCAGAAACATGGTTAGAACTTGTCAAAACATGCATGCTAAGTTATACTAAACTGTGAGCTGTTATTATCTCTGAACTACACTCAAGATGAAATAATGTGATTTTATATTTGTTTTTTGTTTTTTCAGAGCAAAGAAGGGAAGAGCCCCCTGCACATGGCAGCCATTCATGGACGCTTCACACGCTCTCAGATCCTCATCCAGAACGGTAACGATGAACACGCTGTCTAACTGATCTGTGAGAAGAAGTTTGTCCCAATGAGCCTTGTATTCACTCCCTCTTCCCTTCTTTACATCAGGTGGGGAAATTGATTGTGTGGATAAGTTTGGCAATACTCCTCTCCACGTTGCTGCTAAGTACGGCCATGAACTGCTGATCAGCACGCTCATGACCAACGGAGCGGACACGGCCAGGTATCAGAAACGCCTTAAGTTGTACTACAGACGGGTATAATGAGGTTGTTAAAACAGAGTAAAGTATAAAGTACGGCCCGTAATCCGAAGAAGCATCAATGTATACATGCTGGGGTTGCATTTAAAGGATGCACCGATATCAGATATCGGTCCAATACTGACATGTTTATTTACCATGTACTGTACGTTATGTGCTGGAATTTTAATACATTTTGACCAATTTGTTGCTGCATTAAATTGTAATTCCTGTTCATTTTATAGATTTTATTTAGCAAGTTACAGATGTACATTTTATTATTTTAATAACAAAATAACAATTTAGTAAATAAAGTAATGTTTAAGTCACGTGAAAGAATGATGTAGAGCTCGATAATTAAACACCGGTAATGGATCAGTGCTTCATATCGGCCGATACCTAAAGCCCAGATATCGGTGTCAAGACTGAAAAAGTCGTACCGGTGCATCCCTAGTTCCATTTTAATATTTGACTGTTTCATTTTTAATATTCTGTTTGTATGTTTTTGTCATTTCCAGGCGTGGAATAAATGGAATGTTTCCCTTGCACTTAGCGGTGCTGTACGGGTTTTCAGACTGTTGTCGCAAGTTACTCTCCTCAGGTTTGTCTTTGTTCCATGAAAATGTGCACTCCGATTAAGAAAAGCTGTTTTTGTACGCTTTGGCGTTTGCCGTTACCGCCATCGTGTTCCTTCATTACCCTACAGGTCAGCTGTACAGTATAGTTTCATCCATGAGTAAGGAGCACGTACTTTCGGCTGGGTTTGACATAAACACCCCTGACAACTTTGGGAGGACCTGTCTACACGCTGCTGCCTCTGGAGGGTAAGATGCAGAATCTGCTTTGTCACATTTTAAATGACCAAAAATGTTCTGGTCACACATGTCTGAAACATCTGCAACTTAATTTCCTTTCCATGATCATCTTAATTTACAGAAATGTTGAATGTCTGAACTTGCTCTTAAGTAGCGGTACCGACTTGAATAAGAGGGACATAATGGGAAGGTGAGTTTCTCCTCCTCAGATGTTTTCATGCTGCCGTGACAGTAATTCAAGTGCCAGCTGATACATGTAACTAGTCTGAGTGACGATTCTCTCCCCTCTCATCCTCCCTGTAGGACTCCGTTGCACTATGCGGCTGCTAATGGGAGGTACCAGTGCACTGTGACCCTGGTGAGCGCTGGCGCTGAGGTCAACGAGCCTGACCAGACAGGCTGTACTCCCCTGCACTACTCTGCCGCCTCCCAAGCCTTCAGCAGGTTGGACAACGTTTCCCTCTCCTTCTGCGTCAAACTGTAAATAAATAAAAAAATTCTTGACTTTGTCATCTTTTTTTCCTCGTTACTCATACGGATGCAGTTCAAGCAGTTTGCTGAATGTTTGGTTTCATCGTCAAATTGCATTCACTTGTGAGCAGCATCAAGCTTTATTAGACATCAGTGTAACCATCTAAACAACACACAGAGGAATGTGTGGTTTTGCAATGATGTGCATGTTATACCGATATCAAGAGAGTATATTGAATCGGAGCATATCTTGTTATTTTCAGAGTTGATCGTCATTTTTCTGGGAACCATCAGAATGATGAGGATGAGGCAAAGGAGTCGTACTTGTGAGTGTTTTTTCCCCCTTGGCTTTCCTCTCCATCAAATCATGACGAATGTGATAAAGGCTTAAGATTTAATAAACTGACATCAAGTTTGTTTGTGGAAAAGATTTGTGCCTAAAGGCCGCTGTAGGAAATGATTCTCAAGGCTCGACAATATGGGTTATTAGTGATGTTAGTGCTGAGACCGGCTCTGCTCTTTATCCCCTCTCTACGTGTTTCCTCGTCTTCTAATAACAGCTGCTTGGAGCATCTTTTGGACAACGGTGCTGATCCATCGATGGTCAACTCAAAGGGTTACAGCGCTGTTCACTATGCAGCTTATCATGGCAACAAACAGAACCTGGAGCTGGTGAGTTTTTCTGTTTTTAACCTGAAACTTAAGCTTTAATACTCAACTGTCACACATTACATGCACTCGTACTCCTGTTCCACTCAAGCAAATGGCACAGATCTGGTCCATAAGACTTAGGTCAACACAATATTTTGTTCTGTTGAGTGAAATACGACTGCAGTATATATTTGCAGTCGTGTTGTTTAGCCAAAACTATTAATTAATGGGATCATTTTTGCAGGCTTTGCATGATGAAAACACGTTCAGGTGTAACTTTTGATTGGTATTGATATGTGTAGCATGTTTATCTATTTCCTCAGTAAATTAAATGAAATCCACTCTTGTGGTTTATTTCTCAGCTCCTGGAGATGTCCTTTAATGCACTAGGAGACATAGAGAGCAGTATTCCAGTCAGTCCTCTGCATCTTGCTGTGAGTGTTTCTCATTTAACCAACTCTGGTCGAAGCTGGTTTTAATCGACCGCTTAATGCTGACCACATGCAAAGTTGTGACCGCCCGTCTCTGCTCCCTCAGGCTGATAAGGGCCACTGGCAGGCGCTGCGTGTGCTGACGGAGACCGCGGCCTATGTGGACATGCAGGATGCCGCAGGGCGTTCTGTGCTCTACTTGGCTGCCCAGAAAGGCTACGCCCGCTGTGTGGAGGTGCTGTTAGCTCAGGGGGCCTCCTGTCTCCTCAATGACAACCGCCTCATGTGGACTCCAATTCATGTTGCAGGTATACGGCTCTCCGCTGGAAGATCTCATGACAATGTTTCTGATTGTTACTACCCTGAATAGTCTACATTTTAACTTACAGAGAGTAGGTTGTTTTTAATTCTCTCCTGTGCTTTATTTTATTCCAGCTTCCAACGGTCACTCGGATTGCCTGCGCATGATGATTGACTATGGGGAGGAGGGAGATCTCACCAATGTCGCAGACAAATTCGGCCAGTGAGTTGTCGTCTTTGAAAAGCACCGCTTCAGTTTTGCACATTCAGCTTTCAAAAACAGTTTAATGCCTAAAGCATAGCTGAGCAATCGGCACTCGGTAAAACATGTCTTCATTGTTCCTTCTGTCCCCTTCAGGACCCCTTTGATGCTAGCTGTTCTGGGAGGTCACACTGACTGTGTCCACTTCCTGTTGGAGAAGGGTGCCTTGCCAGATGCCAAGGACAAGAGGAGCAGCACATCTTTGCACAGAGGGGTAGGTCAAAAACATAACGGCAGAGCATCGGCTGCACCACAAAAACTCATACAAGACTTTGACTGACTTTTAATTGGTAGTGAGAATTAAAGTGAAACGCTTTACATTGTCAATGTTGACTTCTGTTTTTTAATACTTGCACTTTCACCACATAAAATAGTAGTTTAGATCATATAGCTAAATGGGCACCTGCCTGATGAAATAGTTAAGCTGCATCCAGCAGTGTTTCCACATTTCCCTGGTGACAAAAGAGTGAAATATCAACATAAAGGAATGATGGTTAAAGCTCCTTTTTTAAAGTCTTACTAGCACCATCTGTCAAGGAGTCATAAGGATAAAAGCAACAAAGCCCAAGGGGGGTTAGGCTTAGGTGGCCAGTTTCCTGGACAGGTATTTATCATAGTCATGGATTTAAAAACCTTTTTTTAAATGAGATATCTATAACATTCAAATCCAGACCTCAGAATAAGAGATCCCTGTCCAGTAAAGTAGCTTAAATCTAATTCATGCTGTTGTGATCAATAAGTAGAATACCTAAGAGCGAAATGTGAGCAGGAAATGATGTCTATCTATAACGTAAAGATGTTATAATTGTAATTTTTCTCAGTCCAAGTTGTTTGTATCAATGGAGATTGTCCGGTCTTTGTTCAGGCGGTGTTGGGCCATGATGACTGTGTGACAGCCCTGCTGGAGCACAAAGCATCTGCACTGTGTCGGGACGTTCAGGGTAGGACACCGCTGCACTACGCTGCATCCAGAGGCCATACGGAGATCCTGGCCAGTCTGGTGCAGGCCGCCATGGCCACAGACCAACAAGATAAACTGCTGGACAACAAACAATACACCCCATTGCACTGGGCTGCTTACAAAGGTTTGCTTCGTTTGATCGACTGGAAAAGGCTAATCCCTAAATGTTGCAATAAATCAGTGTCACATCTGTTGTCCATAATGCTGAGTGTGTTTGTTCTTAGGGCATGAAGACTGTTTGGAGGTTTTACTTGAATTTAAAACATTTGTCCATGACGAGGGAAACCCTTTCACCCCCCTGCACTGTGCTCTGTGAGTATTCAGTTGGCATGTGCTTTTGCCGCATGTCCTACTTTGTCAAAACTAATTCCTCAAAAGAAGCAACACAATGAGTAGGTTTAGATGGAATCATTTGATTAACCCTCGGGTCTTGCTTGTAGGATGAATGGCCACAGCGGTGCTGCAGAGAGGCTGCTGGAGTCTGCTGGGGTCCACATGATTAACACCAGAGATGCAAAAGGAAGGTGAGAATGCAGAAAAAAAACTTATTTTTATATCTTTCTTTATTATAAAACAGGTCTAAGTACTATATAAATACTGTGAGAGGATTAACGCCCAATCCATGGAGAATTGCACACAGCCTGTATTCAGAAACTGAGCCTTAAAAATGAGTCGTCAGGATTTCTGTATGGTAAAATAACTACACAATGAGTAGACCATTTCACAGTTTTAAATGTAGACATTGTAAATGCCAATACCAAGACCTCCTCCTTCTTCTGTCTTATCGAGTAATTGGTCGTGAAGGCCTAGTGTGTTGTACTGCCACAGCCCCTGAAGCCGTAACACTGATCAGACAGTAATTGTTTGGACTGTCTCTGTCTGCGCCTGTAGGACCCCACTGCATGCTGCTGCATTTGCTGAGGATGTCGCGGGACTTCAGCTGGTACTCCGCCATGGGACAGAGATCAACGCAGTGGACAACAGTGGATGCTCTGCTCTGATGGTAGCTGCTGACAAGGGACACAGTGGCACTGTGGGTAAGTCTTTGACCTGTTGTTCTTGTGGGGTTCTTAAATAACTAGTTGTTACCTTAAGAATAGCTGATTGTCACACTCGGGACATCTGTAGAAGCAGGAAATAAATGTCTGTGTGTCTTGATGTCCTCCAGCCATCCTTCTTCACCGGGCCAAGGCTGACCTGACGCTGCTGGATGAGAACAACAACACTGCCCTGCACCTGGCCTGCAGCAAGGTACACAAAGCTCCACTGTGTTGTGTTAAGTATTAACACCAAGTAGTATGTAGACATATGGCCATGCAGTTCTTTTTTTTTTACTTTTCTTTTCGTTTCGTCCCACAGGCCCATGAGATGTGTGCCCTGCTGATTCTGGGGGAAATCCACAGTCCCACACTTATAAATGCCACCAACAGCGCTCTGCAAATGTGAGAACGCTAGCAATACTTTTAAGCTATCAACAAAAAAGGGGACAAAGATCATGGAGTTTATTGGGATTTTCTGTAAATATTTGTGAGCCTACATTTCTACAAAAGCCCCATTAAGCCAATAGCCTTGAAAAACTGTGTAGGCCATGTTTGTCATTTGTTTTAATCTGGCCACTACTCTGAGGCTGGAACCTTTAACTTTTATCTACTCTCAATGAGTACGCACATTGGGAGAATGAGGTACCGGGTCGAGTATTAGTCTGTTATTGGGGTCACATGGCTCCCAACCGCGATCTCTTTCTATTTATCAATGTAAAAACTTCTAATGTTAGAATTGCAGACTGAATAGTAGATGTGCCAGCTGTGTCTCACACTCTTTTCCACTCTCTGTTCCAGGCCCCTCCATCTTGCAGCACGTAATGGCCTGGCTACGGTGGTGCAGGCACTGCTGAGTAGAGGAGCCACTGTGCTGGCTGTGGATGAGGAAGGTGAGGCCTCTCGACGCTTGGTTAGCCATTAGAGCTCATCCAGTGTGATTTAGATGTAGTGTTACATTAAAGTGAGTTGGAGTCTTACTCTGTTTTATAATGATTTGGCTTGTAAACTATAAATCATAAGAGCTTTTCTGACCACAGCACACCATAGTGTCAGATTGCCCTCTTGGGGTCCAGATATCTGTAGCTGAAGTTGGTGTGGGCGAAGGGGTCAAACAAAAGCCTTGATGCAAATTCTTTGCATCGATGATTTTTAGTAATCGATTTACTCGATGAATCGGTTCAGGTTTAATGTGAATGTGTTATCTGTCAATCAGGCCATACCCCGGCCCTGGCCTGTGCTCCCAACAAGGACGTGGCTGACTGCCTGGCTCTGATCCTCTCTACCATGAAGCCTTTCCCCCAGCGGGACCCTTCCTCCTGCTCCTGCCCTTCTCCCACCGTCTCCCCCTCCACGGGTCTCAACTTGCTGAAGCACTGCGGCATCACCGCCGCCTGCGCCCCCTTGCCCAGCAACGGCCTCCACAACGGCTACGTCAAAGACCGTCACGGTGCACCGGTTGGCCTGGACGGGTGTCTGTCTGAGTGAGGTCACGTGGCCCCCCTCAGTCAGCTGCTATCACCATCATCACCACCAGGGAGGGGGGGCGGGGGGGGGGGACTCCCTTTAACATGGCCCAGAGGACCAGGAGAGCACCCACCCACATGTCTGTTCTCTGTGTATGTTTGTGTGTCTGTGTGTGCGTGAGTGTTTGTTCTTCTCTTGAGGTGCAGTCAAACCTAATATGCAATTAGATCCCATTCCTCCATCTCCTGGTAGTGCTTAACATGTAGAGGCGGATTGCTCTGCAAGGTCACTCAGATGAAGTGTGGCATCCCAAACAAACACTAGCAATCTGGCCATCTCTAAACCATTCAACCCTTTAAAACCATGTCGACATAATGATATAACCGACGTCTAAGAGCATGGAAGTCTCTGCATCCTCACCCGTCTTTCTCTTCATATCACTCAATATAAAAGTCATATCATGTTTGAATCAGTTGTGGGTGACCTTGTAGAGGAACATACAGCCTTCCCAAAAGAATGATCAAAGAGTTTCTTTGTTTGTTTTTCTTTTAAATTATATTTTCTTTCTTTTTCGTTTTTAATTGTCCGTTAGTTAGCCTAGAATTTTTATGAAGGAACCACACAAGGGAAAAATAGAACTTTTGCTTAAGAGTGCAATGCTTGTGTACGACAGTACAATCCGAAAATTTTGGAAAAGGGTCACAAAGATGTTAATTCCAGAGTGTACTTTAAATGTACGGCCTCGAATTGTTTGGCATTTTAAGATAATTTGGTAATGCTGCTGAATACATCGGCATGTCTCCTTCCAAAGGAGAGCGATGTTCGGGTCGGCGTTCGTAACATTGATTTGTTCTTAATGCTGACTTCATGTTTTAAAGATGCTAAATAAGTGTTTGTTTAAGCTAGAATGTTTCTAAGCATATAACTTATGACCAAAGTTGATCAACACTATTATGGCTATAAATTATTTATTTGAGATGAACTGTACTGTATAGAGAAAAGACAATAGATCTCGATATACCTCGTCAACTCGTTTAGCAGCTGCTTCATCTTCACCTGGGGGTCCGTTGGCCTGACGTTCTCTCTCCGTAGGGTAGTGACTGACTGAGGCCTTGTTTATTTCTAGATGAAGGCTTTCCTAGTAATATCTGCCAACAACACCTCATCAAAGCATCATATATCTGAGCACATAAATGAACAAGCCATTTCAATTTATTTCCCATCTATTTAACAGTGTTTGTTTTCTTGGAAAAGATTTTCCAAATTTGAAAGGCCTAATTATCGAAAGGGAGCAATCAGTTTTGGTTTTTAGGCACTCGTGACGTTTTTTTGTTGTTGTTTGTGTTCTCTGAAGTTGATCCGGCCATCAGCTTTGTGGTTTTTAACAAACTCGCACTCAAAGAGTATTTCTTGAGTCTTAAACATCTAATAGCTTATCTCTCAACTTCTCGGTGGTCGTCTCTGATCGATTAGAACAGTTAAAGAGTAATGTCTGCTATTTTTATTGGGCAGTTTTCAAGCAATATTTTCTTTTGGCCTTTTTTTTTTTGTTTGTTTTTTGTTTTGTTTAACGTTTTTGAATAGACAATCACTGTCACAAGGGCTTTTGTTTCCCTGGAATGTGTTTCGTTTTTTTATTATTTCATGAAAAAATTACCTAAAGACTAAACGAATGGCTGTGTGTGTGCCGGGCATTTTACTGTCAGTGTCAACACAAATGCACTGGATTGCCTTTATGGCATCTCATGAAATGCCTTTTGACCCATGCCTTCTGTAACACATCATTTCAGTTGGATTGCATAATGGCAGAATAAGATGAGCCCTGAGACAGATTATCTTTCCACCCATTTGAGAGCAACAGCATTGAACAACAGTTGCACCCATCGTATCTTGTGTAGGGGGGGGGGGCATATCTTTATATGTCCCGGCATTATCAATGACCAGGAAGTTGATATCCCTTGTAGAGGCAGATAGGGCTAAGAGGAAAATGAGAGGGATCTTTGCTTCGGCCAATACCTGTTTAGATTTCAGGAATAGCAGAAATCCAAATATGTGCTTTTTTGGTGTTCATATTGTTGTCTCGTCATCCCATTTCTGGTACTAAAGATGATTGTATCGGACCACTAGATCTGTTTGTGACTTTTAGATGTTATATCTATGCTATTTTTATTTTATTTTATGTTGTGTTTTTTTTTTTTTTTTTTTAGACCATTTGCTGGTGGTTAAATTACACTGAGTCGGATTGTTATCCTCGGTGTGATAACTTCATATCCGTTGGTAATGAAGTGGCACAATTGCACACATTAGTTGACTGGATGAGCGATGAGGACCTAGACTGGCAGATGTCGTTAAATACCCCTGCGAAAAATCTTGAATTTTACATAATTAACTGAAACTGACGAAGTCCATTTCAGAGCGGTGATTTCTCAGTCGGTGTCATAGTTTCATAAGTTTGTGTTTCAATAGACCTCCATAACTGACTGAAATGAAATGGAGCTACTGTAATTGATGATCCCCAGCCTTTTGTTCTCTTGATCAATTTATAATTTACATGAGAAAAGTTCTATTATTATTGTTATTAACATTAGGGAAAGGTACAAAATGTTTTGTAATCTCAGGATCTGTGCTGAAATAGCAGCTGGCAGAATATATTAATCCAATCAGATCTCAGCAGGATGATTATGTCTACATTTTTTATTTTCTGGATGGGATGTTCCATAGTTTAATTCCTTTTTAACCTTAATCCCACAGCACTTAATTAGATAGTCAAGCACGCACTTTAGTACGTTCAGGTTCAAAGTGTGCAAAATGGAGCAGATGTAATGTATGTACTTATGTTTACATGCAAGTGTGTTGCTGCTGAATACAGGCAGGTAGGGTGACGAGAGACAAGCAAAGGCTGCAATGAAATAGTACTCTAATAATGCATTATTTAAAGTGTCTCTAAGTACTTTCCGCACAGTGTCCACAGCCCACTGACTTTTTTTTTTTGTGTGTGTTATCTATTGCTGGGCAACCAGCCCAAAAAAAGTGACAAGGTTACATTACCCAGCCTACTGTTAATAATACAGCCTCTGGCCTCAGTCACTTAAAGTCAGTGCAGTGATTCACCAGACACCTCAGGCAGGCTCCTCAAACACTGCATACTCGCTCTGCCGTCGGTATGTGCTGTCAGACCGCTGATTATTCTTCTCTTGTGATGTCCTCATCTGACCAGTAAATGGAGCCATTGCCCCTACAACTATATACAAGTTGTAACTGAATCCTTTTGTTGTATCACAGTATTCTTATACATGCCGTTTTTTTTTTTTTTTTGTGTGCACCAGTGATAATTGAGTGATTGTGCATGGAGCTACATCACAATTTTGACATAGTAACAATTTAAGCGAGTGGAGCATATACAATATATCTGGTGTCTGAAACAGAAAAGCAATGAAAGGTCCAATTGTAGCAATAGAGTGTGTGAGTGTGTGTCTGTGTGTGTGTGTGTAATCGTGTGCAGCACAAACATTGCACTGCCATCCATTTAGGCCAATTCAGTAAATCATAGCATAAATGCCAGTGGAAGATTTAAATGCGGGTTAGATGTTATAATCTTTGGTCACAAATACGGCCTAATTGCCAAAATGTGTCGAGGCAAAAGCCTCTTCGTAAAGCAGCAATGGATTCATGCATTCGTTCAAGCAGTTTACAGTCTGACCATCAAATCTGAGCCATGAATTTTTCTAACTGAAATGAATGTAGGGTCAGTTTAGAGCAGGACAATTTGCTTTCTCCCGACTTTAAACTGTCGCTCTTCATTTGTCTTGTGTAGATATGATTATACAGGTAGCATGTAATTCTCTACATATACAGTATGTATAGTAGTCTTCCTGCATTGAGGGTCTGGATAGGGGTTATTTTTTTGTGGCATGGTTGGAAAATAGGCCTGCTGTTGTGTAATATCACTCTTCTTTCTCTATATGTATGTATGTATGTATGTATGTATGT